GCAAGTGCACTTCCCCTCCCACCACGAGCTGTCGCTGGCCTCTGGATTCCTGAGTCCCAGCAGGGTCAGGAACACTTTTGTTTCAGAGTGACTAGGCCTGGGAATCCTGAGAGCACTGCTCCTGGTACTCCTCCCCTGGGCCCTGGAGTGGGAGGGTTCCATCTCCACCCACCCTAAGCTGCCATGGAGTCCACACACTCTAATCAGATTCCAGTCCTCATAAAGAAAGCCGTGAATTTCCCAGAAAATCATTAGTAATAAATGAGTTGAATAGATTTGGTGTAGGGTGAGCCATGAAATCAGTCTTCCAATTCCTACAGTTCTGTATCTAGAAAAAAGTGACCAAACGTGTGTCCTGTGACCTGAGAGGGTAAAGATCTGGCTCATTTATAAAAATGTGCAGACATAGTAGGGTCTTCTGCATGTAAGATTAATTTACATTTTTTAAATGGTAAAACATAAAAAAGAGTGTGTAAAACGCAAAGAATAGTTTTCTTATGGTTTTACCAGCTATGCGCACATGCAGAAGTCATGAATTCTTTATAGTTGGCTGTTTTTGTCTTTTATATAAATGGAACCATTTAGCTTCTCTCACTCAACATTATGTTTTTGATGTTCATTCATATTGTTACTTGTAGCTACAGGTCATTCTTTTTCATTGCTGTAGAGAAAAGGTTCACACTGACCTACCTTATATGTTTAGGGCTTTTCACCGGTGAATTGAGAAAAGAATACTGTGCATGTATCATTATGTGATACCACCATAAGTTCTAATCCTACACATTGTAATCAAACACTAATATTTTGGCAAGAAAATGGAAGAATATTTATACCAAGTGTGATGGACACATATTTTTAAATAGCCACATGTCAATCCAGGTCTGATTCTGCTACAAAATGAGTTTGTTGAAACTCTGTAAAGTACCTTTTATTGATTTTTGGATTTTAGGATTGTAGCTAAGGGATTGTGGACTTACATTCCATTGTGGGATTGTACCATAATGTATTTATTCATTCTCATGTTGATGGGCATTTGAGTTTGTTGCCAGGTTTTTGACACTTTTCCCCAAAATTGTTTATGATCTTAAATGGAACTCCTCATCTTCTCATTAAAAAAATGACAAAAATGACATTTGAATACACTGGCTTGACCTTCTCCATTAGTCATTTCTTATTTAAAAAATGTGCCTGTGTGCAAATTGGAGAAACATGTTACACCACCATCTAATGCTCTGACGACAACACCACAATAGCAATCATTTCTTATTTCGTTGTTTTATCATTGATATTTAACGGTAACCCAAGCTTTATTATTTCAGCAGAAACAGCTAGAGAACTGGGTTTTTTCTTCTCTATTTCTTTTATCTCAAGTTAGATTATTTTCTTAGGTGAGAGAGTACAATCACAATAAATGAAGCCCGAGCATCATTTTATTCCATTTTGAACAGCTGCACTCATGAACATTCTTGTACAGCCTCCTGGCATACCTGTTCAGGTTTCTCTAGGTTTTGTACCAAGGAGTAGAACTGTTTGCAAGGCCGTTGGTTATGCGTTAGTTTGGCATCTGAGGAGCAGGTGCCAAGGTGAGATTTGGTGTGTAAGAGATTTATTGAGAAGGGAGAAGGAGAAATCAGGGGGAGCCTTCAAACTCGGATGCAGTTCTGAGACCTGTGGAAGAAAAGAAAGGAGGAGGAATGGGGTAGGAAGAGTGTCAGACAGCAAAGTACCAAGAAAGTTTTGACCAGGCCAGTGGTGGGGGTGAGGTGGGGGTGGGTGTCCTGGAATCAAAATTGTCCATCAGAAGAGTCTGGAGATGGGCCTGTCTTAGTACTGTCACGCTGAACCATTGACTGGGAGCAGCCTGTGTAAGCGTGGCTTTGGTACAAACCTGGTGGTGGGTTGGGAGGGCAGTAGCTGGGAGAGTTAATCAGTTGTGCTCCCACCACAGGAGACCTGCCTGGTGCATTTTCATGACTTTCGCAGTCTAAGCTTTGTGCCACCCAGATCCAGTTCTCCACATGGGCATGGCGGGCAGTTCCGCCATGGACATTATGGGCCTTTTTGCCTCCAGGGAAACTTGGACAAGGGAGGGTTGTGTGAGCAACCTCCTTTGCCACAGTTGGTTTTGAAGTTGCAATTAGCACTCATCCTCACCCTCCTCTACTGTCTGTTCTGACCTCCGCTCATCCTGACCTGGTCTGTGACCCAAACCTACACTCCTGAGGGGTCTGAGACCTGGAGAAGCATACCCTCCTCAGGCCAGGGTGGCTGCATTCACAGTTACAACTGAGAAGGAAGTACCAAGAAGTGTCCCAAGTTAATCATTTGGCTTCCGTGTGTAGCCTTCTCTCTCCCCATTGTATGAAAGCAAACTTACCCTCAGGGCTGAATTTGGTCTTAGAATATGGGCTCCTGAAATTGATGACCAAATGTCTCCACTGACTGGTCCTCTCCCATTTGCTTTTATTTCTTCTAAGAAACTCAGTGTATCTCCCTCCAGTTGTAAAGTTCCAAACACGATCACAATCATAACAATTAACCTTTATCGGGAACTTACAATGGGCCAGGTAATGTGTTATTTGCTCTACACAGATAGTCAACTTGTTTAATTTTCACAAAACTTCAGAGGCTGGCTACTCTTTAGTCCATTTTGTAGATGAGAAAAGGGAGGTTTTAGTAAAAATAAGTAGCAGAGCCAGGTTGAATCCTAAGCTATTGTTCTACTTAGGTATTTTTCTACACCATGTGCTAGCTATCTACTGGCTCTCCGAATATAACTTGCATGCTCACTGGGTTATAATTTTTAGCTTATTGGTGAGGCTATTCTATCTTTTTATACCTTGCTTCAAGTAAGACCCTTGGAAAAACTCCTGATCAATTAAGACCTATTCATATTTTTCCCTCCAGCTTTATTGAGGTATATTTGACAAATAAAATTGTACATATTAAAGTGTACAACATGATAATTTGATATGCTTTCACCTTGTGAAATGATCATCACAGATTTAATTAACATGTCCATCACCTCACATAGTTACCTTTTTTGTTTTACGGTGAGAATGCTTGAGATTTACACTCTTAGCAAGTTTCAAGTACTGTACAATAGTGTTATTAACTAGCGTCACCATGCTGTACTTTAGATCTCCAGAATTTATTCATCTTATAACTGAAAGCTTGTATCCCTTTGAAGTTTCATTGTAGTATAAGCCTTGACAGTTGGCTTTTCGTGGGGGGCTTTTCTTTTTGTAATGCAAGTGCCTGACTTAAGTTTTTTTTTTTTTTTTAAAGATTTTTATTGGGGAATTGGGGGGATGGGAACAGTGCTGGGGAATTGGGGAAAGGGGAACAGACAAGTTGCTGTCGT